ACAAAGTTTTAAACTGAAATGACAAAGAACTATAAAAGTGACCTTTGTCCTCAAAGTATGAGGACTCACCAAGTCTTCAAATCTCTAATGAAATCAACTAGCCACAAACGGAAGGATAAGAATCGCCAAGCCCTACATTAGTGAAACAATGTAGGCACAAATATGCATTAGTAAATGGAATGTACTAAGTATGATGAAGGGAATGCAATAAAATGTGAGACATGATCATACAGGAAATAATGGAAAACATAAAATGTATGATCAAGTTAAAACAAAGAAGAATCATTTAAGAAGATCCATAAATCATTAACATGGTCAATGCATCTTTAAATCATAAAGGAAACTTCATAAAATATTAGGAATCAACTTAGTTCTTTTTGTGGAAAATTTAGTGTTAACTGATATATAGACCATGTGAGCTATATAACATGGAATTCAACCCACAACAAAAAGGGGTGTCCTACTTTTCACGATAAGGACCATGAACTTCTAGCTTAGGTGGATCCACCAGCTAATGTCTATCTAAGGCAATCCACTAGCCAATGTCTATCTAAGGCAATCATTATATGGGGTCACATATGTATGAGATAAAGAGGTTGCCATTACAAACCTGACCTCAAGCTAGCGAGAGTTTCCATCTCAATATTCTCTCAGTGCTAAGCATAAATCTCACATAATGGTCTTTAATCTTACTCCTCTTACTATCCATGTAAAAGTACAATTAAGATATTAATCCAAGCTAGAAACATCATATGATGGCTCCTGCGTGAGAAAACTTTTCACCATCCATGATCTTTTCATAATAGTTTTTAAGGCTCATAGTTATTCACTTCATGCTAGAAATGCCCTAATTACTAATGAAAATAGTTTAAAAGGCATGATTTATAATCATTGATGGCATATCCAGATATCATGCTAATTAAGACCTAATTTAGGAAAATAGCTTGAAAAGCATTGAGTGCAAATCTAGATATCACTCATGTCATCTGGTCAAGCTTCATAGAACATATAAATACCTTTATGTATAAGCTTATTTGAGTCATAAATATTGCTTTCATAAAAACATGCATAATTTCATAAAATAAATTCATTAATTCAAGCTTCTTCATGAATTTATGTAAATTAGGGTTTACAATCAAAATTCATAGATATATGCATGAATTCGCATGAAATTGGTTGAAAAGCATGTAATTAAATTCAAATCATCAAACTGAGATCATAATAGAGCGGTTGAGTCCATACAAATAGAACCCACGAGGAATTTAGAGAAATCTAATAAAATCTTGAGAAATTGAAATGGGGAAATGAAGAAACTTTAGAGCTTGATTAAAGCCTGAAGCAATGATGAAGAAAGAAGACTTGAACTTGAAGAACTCTAGCTTCTTCTTCCTAGATCTAAAGAGGAGAATTTTGGAGAGAATGTATTTAGTCAAGTAAAAGAAAATTTAGGAGAATAAATTGAAACTGGTAGTTTTTGGGCTTAATTCATTTATGTAGGCCTTGAAATAGGGTTTAAAACGATGTAGTCTGGGTTCCAAACACTTAGGGAAAATGCCACAATGACCTTAATTTAAAAAAAAATACGAGGTGACTAAGAAGAATGGTTTTACTAGCCATATAGCCGGTCGTGAAACTTCACCCACCCAACAGTGTTTTACTAAAATATGAATAACTTTTTACCCTGGGCTTGAAATTAGGAAAACTTGATAGAGTTGGAAAGAGGACTCAAAGATCTTTAATTTGATAGGTCATGGGTCACCTAAACTATTATCATTTTAAAATTATCTTAGCAGCACGTTGATTCTAAGAAAGGAACTTAGCACTCTTTCTGAAAAATATAGAAGAGAGTAGTACTAATCATATCATATTATATAACAAGTGGGAAGAACTCAAGTCAAAATTTGAATTACCATTTTAACATTTATATATATAAATCAATTATCCATTTTACATTAATAATATTGCAGTAAAATAAATACTCATAATTATGAAAAGAATAAAATTATAAAAAAAATTAGCCAAAAAGTAAAAAGACCCATTAATTTCCAACTTAATGATTTGACCTTTGATCTTCATCTACATTAATAATATTACATAAAAATACTCATAACTAATTAAGTCAATAAAGTACTTCCTTTTCTCAAGGCACAATACTTCTTCATCTTTTGTTTGTGAGAAAACTAATGAAGATTAAAGGTCAAATAATTAAGTTCGAAATTGATGGTCTTTTTAATTTTTGGCTAAAATATCTTTAATAATTTGATTTTTTTTCATCTTCCCTTAATAAGGTTCCGTATTTAAGTCATCCAAAGAGCAATTGAATTTTTAAATTCCATTGAATCTCTTTAGTCAAATATGGTGACGAAACCGTAGAATGATTCATTGGTTGGTCCACAAGAAGATCATCCTATAGATATTACCACGGCTTCATAGTTGTCATCTTCGACATCTTTGTTGCCATGTTAATTATCAAATACAAGATTTGCTCGAGGCTTGTTATTATATTCAGTGTGCAATCCATTGCTAACATAAGGAATATGGAAAATGATCTTAAGTAGATCTCAATGGCTATGATGTTTGGTATCACAGAACTCATGACAAACTACTTGGGTGTTAGTTCCTGGGCAAGCAAGACAACTTGATGGAATTGTTTCAGACACATAACTCATTTGTAAGAACATTTGGATGTCGTCCCGAAATATTTACTTCCTGTGATGATTCTTAGCTAAATTAAGTTGTAGAGTAGGTTTTTTTAATATATAGTTTGAGTTCTTTTTAAGGGGCTATTCTGTTTCAAATTCTAATGACTTGAATCTGAGCAAACATTGTCAAAATAATTATTGTGCTGATATAACATTTTCTTTGTGAATTAAGGTTTTTATACCTTAACTAATGTCTTGTATTGTTGGAAGCAGCTAATGATTGACTCCTCTTCAATATTCTACCTACATTTCTACATTTCTCTGTTAGTTAATTTCATGCAGAGGTTAGAGAATGAAGAAGATCAAAAAGTTGTTGAAATGACCAATCATTAGAATTGTTTGATAATAATTATATGAGACAAACGTGCAACGCACGTTTTTGAAAGCTAGTTATATTATAAGTGGGAAAAACTCAAGTCAAAAGTTAAATTACCATTTTAACCTTTATATCTATAACAACAATTATCCATTCTACATTAATAATATTGCAGTAAAATAAATACTCATAATTATGAAAAGAATAAAATTATTTTAAAAAATAGCCAATAATTAAAAAGACCCATTAATTTCCAACTCAATGGTTTGACCTTTGATCTTTATCTATATTAATAATATTGCATAAAAATACTTATAATTATTTAAGTACCTTTGATCTTCATCTACGTTAATAATATTGCTCAAAATACTCATAATAATTTAAGTCAATATACTCTTCCTTTTCTCAAGGCACAATACTTCATCTATTGTTTGTGAGCAAACTGATGAAGATCAAAGGTCAAACAATTAAGTTGGAAATTGATGGATCTTTTAAATTTTTGGCTAAAATATCTTTATAATTTGATTTTTTTTCCATCTTCCCTTACCTAAGGTTTCTTATTTAAGTCATCCAAAGAGCAATTGAATTTGCAAATCCCATTGAATCTTTTTACTCAAATATGGTGACAAAACCATACAAGGATTCATTGGTTGGTCCACAAGAAGAGCTTCCTATAGATTACCACGGCTTCATAGCTATCATCTTTGGCGTCTTTGGTGCCATGTTAATTATCAGATACAAAATTTGCTCGAGGCTTGTTATTACATTCAGTATGCAATCCATTACTAACATAAGGAATATAGAAAATGATCTTAAGCAAATCTGAATGACTATGATGTTTGGTATCACGGATCTCATGATAAACTACTTGGGTGTTAGTTCCTGGGCAAGCAAGACAACTTGATGGAATTGTTTCAAGCACAAAACTCATTTATAAGAACATTTGGATGTCGTCCCGAAATATTTACTTCGTTTGATGATTCTTAGCTAAATCAAGTTGTAGAATAGGTTTTTGTTTTTATAGTTTGAGCTCCTTTTACGGGGCTATTCTGTTTCAAGTTCTAATGACTCGAATCTTAGCAAACACTATCAAAATAATTATTGTGGTGATATAACATTTTCTAAGTGAATTCAGGTTTCTATACCTTAACTAATGTCTTGTAATGTTGGAAACATCTAATGATTGACTCCTCTTCAATATTCTACCTACATTTCTACATTTCTTTGTTACCTAATTTCATGCAGAGGTTAAAGAATAAAGAATGATAAAAAAATTGTAGAAATGACCAATCATGAGAATTGTTTGATGATAATTATATGAGACAAACGTGCAACGCACGTTCATGAAAACTAGCAAATTAAAAATGGTGAAAAAGGAACATAAATTAGAAAGAAAAATTATTTGTGAGACCTACTATGGCACTTGTAAAGCATAGGCGGGTCTCACACTTTTTGTTGGTTGCGCCTCACCCGTAGTAAAACCTTTTATTCAGTTTTATGTTTGGTCTCCATTGATATGCTATAATTTAAAGTCACAACTTTTCATTTAATCTCATGTTTGTCGATTGAGTTAAATGAGTACCCACATTATCCATTGGATAACTCTTTTCTATAAGACTCATATTTTATCTACTTTTGCTCACCTCGTTTTCAATCAACTCATATTCAACTTAGCCCGCTCATTTGTCACTCCTGACTCAAAGGTACTAAAGACAAGCCTTAACAAAATGTTTGATCCTCCCTCATAGCAACAACCACCGCAGCTTTAATTATCACAGGCTATTTAACGCAGAAATTCAGGACAAGCTTTCAAAAAGTAATTACTTATCCACAGTGCTATATCAGGGAATACAGTTTTAACAATTCCATAGCGTTAACCTGTACTCTTAGCTCATCAGAACAAATTAGATCAAATAATATGATCATACTATTGTACTAGCTGAAGATCTAATCCAAACGAATCCAAGAAAAATCAAAAGAAGAAAGAAAGCAGCAGTTTTTAATAGAGTTATACGAAAAGGAACTGAACATGCCAACAGTTACAAGGAACTTGATTTTATCCCTCCTGATATAAAGCTACATCTGTAAACTAACGACAAACAGAAATAACTTCTGAGAAAAGAAACAAAAGTATAAATTAAAGACAGAGTAAGGGGCTGCAGAATGGGAGTTGTGCAGGTCAGGGGGTTCATCTGCAGATTTAAGGAATCTTCAGGTTATGCTAACATGAACTCAACTCTTCCTAAAGCTATTAACTCAAGCCATATGTTTTGCCCTTTTATTGCTGCATGAAGGACATCTGTATTCCTTGATACTTTGAGCCTTTGCAGGAGTTATTTTCACACACTTGCCATGATACCACTTTTCACATATATCACAGCCAATCCAGAACTCATCCTCATTGCCATTTGTTCCACAACTTCCACATAGAGTTTCTTCATGCTCATCTTCATTCCCTTCATCCTCATCATCACTCTCCTCTTGCAGCCTTTGATTTGCTTTCATTTGTTTTTCTCTCTGCAAGTAAGCACGTAAACAAAGTTTTATACAAAAAGCGTGACCCACAAATATCAATGATTTAATCAAGTACCTTTGCATTGTTCTTTGATTTCTTTCCACTATCAACACTAGGTTTGTCCTTTAAAGGCTTCCTCCCTGTCACGGCTTCAAAGACAGTTGGTAGATCATTTATCAGGGTAAACACACGACTCCTGTTTATCAAAAGAACACCAGCAAAAGAAATGACAGAAGATATGGTTAGGCATAATAAGTTTGATTAATGAAAACAAAAATAAATGGTTTAAACAATAAAATTGTCAAGACTTCTTAGAATGCAAACTACTACAGCGCCGTTTGTTTTTATTGTGATTAAGATGATTTAATTTTGAATACATAGCTAATTGTTAAGATATTATACCTAGATTTAAACACCAAATAAATAGAAGTAATTGTTTTCTCAGCATCTGAATATGTATTTTATCTTTTAAAAACTATATAGACAGAATTTCGTAAAAAAAAAATACTCATTAAAAGCTAAAGGCTACTGCAGCTAATAGTGAAGTGATGGTTGGCGGTGGTAGGTAGGTGGAGGTGCTCCATTGTAGTGGTCTTATAGTGGTATCTCATTACAGACAAAAGTGGTGGTAGTAGTTGATAACGGAGGTGGTTAGTAGTGGTAGCTGGTAGAGTAAGTGGTTGGTGGTGGTAGTTGGTAGAGTAAGTGATTGGTGGTGGAAGTGGTCAAATAGTGGTGAATAATGGCTAGTGATGGTGGCAGCTACTGATGGAGGTGGTTTGTGTTGGTGGTTAGCAGTTGGGTTGGCATTAGAGGTGGCTAACAGAAATGGTGGTCGTAGGTGGCAGTTGAACGCTTGCGCTTGGTAGTGGAGGTGGTTAATAATTGAAGCTGCCGGAAGTGTGGTGGTGATTAGGTGCTATTGTCAGTGGTGATAATTGTGGGGTTGTAAGGGGAGGACAAAAATATCACATTCTGAAATCTTGAAGTGAATAACGGTCTTAAAGATATTAAGACTCCCTACAGATTTAAAAGATTCAAACCTATTAAAACAAATAAGTAGTTGTAACAAAGGAAAAAATGCACTTAATGGGCTAACATTTGAGTATTCAGACCCGCATTGAGTGCAAACAAACTGGACCTTAGTCTAAGTACGCTCACTCAGATAAACAACCAAATTAGCTTTACCACCAAAAAGGAAGGAAACATTTTATCAAATATACTAAAGAATTGTCCACCAAAGCAATACTTCAAAACAGTTTTTGAATTCCGAACACAAAAAAAAAAACTATTAAAAAAAACCAAGCTTCTAGTTCTAGGAGACCAAGAGATGCTAGCAAAATTTCAGGAACAAACTCAATGGTTCCAACATAGCCAGTAGGTTAAAGAGATGACGAAAAAGGAATAGCAAGGTGAGTCAGTTTCTTCTCACCAGCCAAGATGACCACCACGTTTCTTGGAGTCATATCCATACTGGCGTGCTGTCATACCAGTACGCTAGTTAAGTACTGCCAGTTCAGTGAACTGAAGTACATCCGAAAGATGTTTTTGTAAACTAACTAGGTCAGCGTAAAATGAAAACGACTAAAAGGCTACATAGTACAACTCAATTTATCCTAGGTTGCCACGCAGTGGACACTAAAGGAGATCCGAGCATGCAAGTTGCAAAATTCAAAGAAATAAAGAAGGAAGAAATGGAAATAAAAACAAATTGGATTACTGCAATATGGAGATGAGATACTTCGTGCAAGTCCAAATCAGATAAAAGATGTAGCTTACCATTGTAACCCATTTAAAATCTTACTTAGCACAGTGAAAAGATATGTTTGAGCTAAAACAATATCTTTCTTATAGTGCCATAGGGTGACTGGTGATTTAGGTCAGGTCACAAATTTGAGCCCTACACCAATTGAACCAAGTTTGTCTGATGTTTAAGTGGAGAAGAGTGTGTGTGGAGGACGGGTTATTATCCCAGAGTTCCAAAGGTTGGGATTGAATCTGATAGTTGGCCTTAAAAAAATTCTGTCAAAAAAGAAACAATATCTTCCTTATAATCTAAGGTAATGAAGTTAGCATGACAAGCAAATTTTCCCACATGGCCTAACACATCATTTATTACTTCATCTTTTTGGTTGTGGTCATGTCTGCCAATTGCAAAACAACATGGGGTTGGTCTAGCATTGCCCAACCTAACCTTCGGAATATGGGAAGTGGCACTAGAGTTATACTAGCAGCAAGATCACACAATCCATGTCCGGAAACCTTTCCTCCCACAGCGCATGATATAGTCAGATCATCGGGATCTTTCAATTTTGGAAGCAATTTATACTGAATGGTGGAACTGCATCTTCAGATAGTTTAATTGCTCCATACTCATATAGCCTCCTCTTGAGCAAATTGTCTAACAAAATATTGTATACACCAACATTTGCTCCAAAGTATCAACAAGTGGGACATTGATGTGCAGTTGCTTTAATTCAATGAACTTCTTCAATCCTTATTTGCGCGTTCAACTTTGATGCGGCACCCGTCTCGGATTCTTCAAAAATATACTACTTTTGGCAAATCCGACACGCACCCGTTGACATTTTGAAGAGTCCGAGCAACATAGCTTCAATCTGCTCCCATCTTCTTTCCTCTCTAATCTTTGTGGAAATGGACGTGGTGCTCTTGGTTGTTCTCTTGAGATGTCATCATTGGTCTTCTTTTGTTGATCTGGTGCCGATCCTCCCTCAATTTCTTATGATTGCTCGGAGATGATCACTTTCTTTTTCTTGATAATGGTAACATTTTATATATGAACTGGTATACCACACAAACTGTATAGTTCCCCCGAAAAAGGAAGGAAAGATCATAAGTTAAAGAAAACCTTCCTATCTGTATTGCTTCATAATTGTTGTCTAAAACATTAAAAATATCTTCAGCCTCCACTAAACATTCTTGTTTAGACCAAAAACAATAAAGGACAAAGTAGTTCATCTTTAATTTCTGAAGGTATCATTTCTTGTCCACAAAATTTCAATGATTTCTCTCTTGGCAGACAGTCGAGCAAATACATGCTGGGACAATCCTCCATCTTTCCTTCTGATTGGTTAAGCTGTCATCTCTGCTCCAACTGTTTAGTACATCCCTTGTGTTTCCTGGCATACCCACCTATTCCCCTAAGATTGATGAAGATTTTCCATAAAATGATCTGTCCATTTACAATATAAAAGGAGATGGTTGTCTCTGCCTGTTCTTCACATAAATAACATCTGGGGCGTAATTGGTAATCCCTCCTCCTTTTCAAATTATCCTGTCTCAATACTACTTCTTTGGCCACAAGCCAGGTAAAAGATGCTACTTTGTAGAGGATCTTGACTCTCCAAATCAGCTTCCCTGGCAAGCATCCCACCCAATTGTGGACAGCTTGAGTTCCCTGAATATAGATTTCACAGAAAACATTCCTAGCATATTCCTTTGCCATTCCATACAATCCTTGTCTCAAGAAGTGCCTTTGAATTGGGACAAGTTATTGTAAAATTCAGCTATTCATCCCATTTCAGTCATTTAGAAATTTTCTGACACTGAAGTTCCATCCTTGTTCTGTCCATACAAAAGCCGTTGTTGCTACTTGTTGACATAAATTGTAAATGTCTAGATATAGTTGCTTGAGACATGGTTTAGCCAATTGTCCACCCAGAAAGATGTCTGGAGACAATCACACTGTTACTTGCTTTTGAAACTTTGGTGTTATTGTTGCTGAGCTTTCTGCATAGATTGGGGCAACTCCATATTTCTTGAATATATCTTCCAAAGTGGAATATGAGGATGGAGTAGCTGGTTGGGAGGATAGCTTGTATGCATTCTAATGTAGTCCAAACTCTAGGAGGCATGGCCATATTAGGCAACATTGAGCATGTGGTATAGAGGACACAAGAGTTAGTGGTTGGATTGGTTGCACATTTATTTAGATCAAGAGGCTTTTGTTACTCTTATTGCCGTTGATTTTGAAATCCTTGATTCCATGCCCTTTTTCCAAGATCCCTTTCCCCTAGACGTGGTACCCACATATTTGCATGCATATGAAGCTAAGGCAATTTTTTTTGGTGATCCGATCGGGGCCAGGTGGACCCACCTTGAGTAGGGTGGGTGCTCAAGCAACTAGGGGATGGGCACTGATGAAAGCCAATTGCAACGAACCCCAAAAACATTTTTAAACAAGTCATCAGTACAAGAGTTGTGACAATGAAAAATTGAGGGGAATGACAAATAATTTGCAACTTCCCAACCTCAGTCTTCAACCAGTCAGAGGTCATTTGGTTTCAGGGATAAAAGATGACAATTACAACATAAAATGTGAGACCATTTCATCCTGTTTTTGGTTGAATTTTTCATTCTGGAATTAGCAGTCCCACGATTAGTTAAACCATAGTTGTGGTATTATTTTTATAATAACTTCAATACGGGATAACAATCAACCTTGGGATAAAACACCAAAATGAACAATTCTCCAAGGCTCTTTACCTAAAGTCCTTTAAAATCCCAAGGTTAAAATTTAAGCTAAACATTTATCCGAACATATCTAGTGCAAACTAAACAAATGTTTTACATTATACCCCATATATCTCAGTTTTGTACAATAAATCAAGCATCTCCCAATAAGAGTATATTCACTAAATAATCATGTCATGATTTAAACCTCATATTATAATCCTGTGCTTGTAATCTCAGATTAACTTATTCACCAGCCAAATGACCTCTTAGTGAACTAGTTCCTCTAAGAGAGAGAAGGCAAGGAGAGGGGCGCAATAGATGCTTTTGCCCTCACCTTTCATGAGAGACTAGAGAAATTCATATTGTTATTTCTTTCTTTTCCCTTTGATTTTCCCCTTTTTTTTTACAGGTATACTACCTATTCTATCTTTAAATAAATGACAAATCATCTGTACCTCCACTTAATAAATCCCACAACACAAAATCTGATGAAAAAGATTAGAACTACTCCACGAGTAAAATTTGCATAAAGCATTTTACCATTTCTGCATCAATACCAAGTCTTTTCCCAATGAGATCAATCTTATTAGTAGACACATGAATTAAAAGACTACGCAGTTCCTCCTCATCAAATTGACGAAACATAAGCACCCTGAATAGAAACAGAATATATACTACTGCATTTCTTACCTAAAAGAAACAAAATGCTCAACTATGTTT